GTTTATTACAAACACAGGAAATACTATTAAAATCAAAACTGTTTCTGGTGATGAGCTGTACCTCTACTCCCCTCAAGAGTCGGAGCTGCTGAATTATGTTCTAGTATGCCCATACAAACATCTTTCAGAAAGTTTTGTTTTATCTCCAGTGACTGCTGCTGGTTTGTGTGGCATGTACAGGCTTACTAATTACAATGATTTGCAGTCTTTGGCATCTAGGTATTTTCCCCATTAAAGAGACTGTTGTCTAAGCAGCTTTGAAATGTTTATCTCATGCTCATCAGGGAGTTGGACATCACCTGTTGTTGTCATGTTGCACTAAACCCCCATCAGACTAGATATGGGGTCTTGGAGAAATGAGGAGGACAGGGGAAGCTTCTCCTGTCTGGGAGATGAAACTTGTCTGCCATGGCTTTCCCACAGCAGAGAACACAGAATCCCAGATCCCTTCAGTTCTGTTGCAGTTTAGTGAGGGTGCAAATCCTTTTAGCATTGCCTTAACCTCCAGCTATGCAATACCACAGTGTTACCCAGCCTGGGATATTTCATGTGCAAAAATTTGCCAAGCAGACAGGAGGACCTGTCTGCAGTGAGGTATTTTTCTGACAAACTTGATACACTGAATATGGATCCCTACCCTCATTGCTTCATCACCACCCTGTGATGTTTGGCCCCAAAGCTGAAGTGTTTTTTTGCTGCAAATAACCACACTGACAGCTCCTTGTAAGTAGGGCAAGAGTGGATTAGTGCAGGCATTTTGCGGCAGAAGGCTCTGGAGTCTCACCTGCACAGCCACACGATTGCATTCATGTCCTGCTTTAACGCCCTTGAGCATCTTTCATCTTCCAAATTCTAAGGGCTTTTTGGGCTTTTTTTTTTTTTTTTTTTTTTCTCTACCTACATAGGCAGGATGAAGCAGAATCAAACAAAAATGGGATGGAAAGGAGGGGTGAAAAATAGATGGTGGCTACTGCATCCCCGTCCCCTCTCAGTAGCCTACAGGGCATGTCTGCTCCCAAGCAGTAAATTGCAAAAATCTCTACCATGTCCTGCCGCTTGCAGTATCCAGATCTCCTTAGGAAAGGACAGTGCAGCTGCAAACTGTGGAATAAGGCAGCCAGGTGGCCTCTTCTTCAAGGGTTTGTGCACATTCTGGGAAGTGCAGAGCCTGGAGCCTGCCTCTCCCACTTGCTGTGCTGTTCAGCAGGACCCTTGTGCTCTGAGATGAGCACCCCCTGCAAGCACTGCAACACTTGTGCAGGGCATTCCCTGAGACACCTTAGATGCTCAGCATCAGTTTACACATTTGTATTTCTGTATGCTCAACATAACATTTAAATTGTTTCACTTGCAATTTTTCTATTATCATGTTACTGATAATCAAGCTACTCCAAATTTTAAAAAACAAAAATATTGATATTTATTCTACTTTATCTAAATATGTTTGTACAGAAAAGGTATTGGCCACCCATAATACACATGGACCTAATATTCAGATTTTTGTTACTTTCTCAAAGTTGCTCATCTGAAGTCCTTAGCTGAAATAAGGGTGGATTGCTTTTTCCCTTCATCCATTTTAATTTTTTTCCTTTTCTGTTGATTACTAACTCTACACTATATTGCTTAGGCACAGAAATTTAAATGGCAATGCATAATTAAGGTGTGCAACATGGCATCCAGTTTCACACACTCTTTCCCCGTCAATCTCTCACAGTCACTATCAGTCTTCCAGTTAATAACTATTTGGACTGCCCTTCAGCTCTCCTTTTTTCAGAGAACTTGAGTGAAGTGAATTGTCACAAATCCTGCAAAGCTTGGACTTCTTGCTTGGGTACCTCAAGCACTGAGAGAGACCTGTCTATCTCACAAGAACAGGACAGAGGTTTTTGATGTACTGGCTGGGACCAGTAGTTGTGATGGGTTCATGAGAGGAGCCACAACCCCCAGACAGCACAGGGAAGAGGCATTCACATCAGGACTTAGACCTTAAACTCTCCTACCTGGCTGACTCACCTAGGCCTCAATAGCTGACTGTGCACTGGTATGATGTGCATTTCTTCGCAGGCTCTAAGTCAAAGTGTGTGAAGTTATGCCTTTAAAACAGTCTGATTTACTTCCGTTTGAAGATAACAAAGAACAGTCTGAGTTACTTCAGTTTGAAGGTAATAATCATAACATCCACAGGTTGTTGGCCCACGGAGGTGAAAAAATCCTACGATGCTTTACTCAACAAAGAGGAGCATGGAACACCACTAACAACCATTACCGGGGCACTGAAGAACAGCCATAACTTCTGTGGGATGATAAAACTGTCAAGTGCATCGGCTAACGGTAGACATAAACACATAACTGAGAGAGATGGTGTTATTCTATAATTTAGCTTTTTCCCACCTCATTGATACTGGTTTTGTATTTCCTAGTTTGAGTTTATGTCACTTTAACAAAGTGCTTGAAAACATGTTTTTCTGAGTGGAGAAACTGCACCTGGTTGAGTAGGACTGGTAATCTTGCAGTCAAGTTAAAAAAGGTTGTTGAAACAGGGCACTTGACTGGGTGAAGAAGCCAACTCCTTCCATCACGGGAACAAGAGGAATAAGCACAGCACATTTAAGGAATTTTATTGACCTTGTAGCTAGATAGTATAAAAAAATTAACTGCCTTTCACACCAAGAAGGTGTGAGGCCAAGGGGAAACCTTTCACCAGCATGACTTTCAGCTGTCTTCATGCTTTCTCCAGTCCTGAAACCCACCTAGGAGGGAGCTACACCACCAGTATAGATCCATCATTGCTAATGTTGCCTTGCTGATACTTTCTTAGAACTGTGCCTAGAAATTAAAAGCAGTTCATGAATCTGTTAGCACTGAATAATAATTTCTGAGAATTGGTGGCTTTTTGTGTTGGCTTGGCAGCATGACCTCCAGAGACTGGCAATGCTAGTCTGTCTTCTTAACATGTTAGAGTCCAGTCATTTTGAGAGTATGTTAACAAAATATTATCAGAAATAAAGCCTGCAGAAAATTTAATGAGCTGAGCTTGAAGCCACTCCTAAAAATGAATGGATGTCCCAGGATGCTCATTTTCTTTTTAATTGTATCTGGCTTCTCTTTTAAATCCATAATGGAGAGAACATAGATTAGTACTGAAATACAGAAGACACTTTTCTAAATCCAGCTTCTAAACTAAGTGATTTAAATTCCAGACTGGTCAGAACTTTGATGTACAGTTGAACATGAAGTTGTGTTTTGCTGCAGCAGTTACTACTTCACATACAGCTACAAGTTCTTGCCACATTAATAGATGAGAGTCAGCTGTGGTCAGAACAACAGAAATCAGAAGCAAAAGGGGAGAAGGGTTAAAGGCTGAAGCTGAAAATAAAAAATACTGATTGCCTCTCTGTTTTCCTGCAGACAAGTTTTTATCCCTGAAATAGACAGAAGCACTTTAAAGAGATATTTACTTAAGCTATGTAGCAGGCTGGGTGATGTGTATATTGTAAAAAAACTCTGCCAGTAACCTGTAAAAACTGGGCAAGTAAGAACCTACTTCCATGCAGAGCTTCCTGAACTACATCTGACATTCAAGCAATGCAGGTCTGGATTCTCAGTCTCTCCTGCGTTAGCTGTTGAGATGGGATGGCAATTTCCTCCTGAGCTTTGTGCTGTCCCACATAGCTGAAAGAGAGGGTACATAGGGCCTTCTTCCCATATGCAACCTGCTTCCTGGAGCACAGAGGGTCAAAGAGGTGACATCATCTTGGCACACCTGAGTTATCCATATCCCGGTTTAAAGGAGAGACGTTAGAGACTTTTATGGAAGTGGTTTTGTTTATTTAATTTGAAAATCTTTAAAGTGTAGCTCTGCCTCATCCAAAAATTACAGAGGCCTATGTACTAGCCAAACACAGAGGGTTTCTAATAGCTGGGAGGGTTGCAGTGGAAGTGGTTAGCAGCAGGAGCCAGGTAACCTACATTCCAACAAGAGGAAGTTTTAGATTCGAAGGAGTTCTGATAAACAAGGGTTTGCTGTGCTCCTTCAGCCAACTGCAAATGCAGTAGGCACTAATGATGACATTCATTATTTAACATAATTTTCTTGATATTCTTCCATTTTCCAGTCACTGCCTAGGTTTCCAGATATGTGTTTTTAAATGAGATCATACGTAAGGACAATAGAGCATAGAAGCAGTAGGTCTCTCGTAACTTAAAGCAGTATCTTATCTGTTGTGTACCCTTGCTTTTTGTAACGAACATGTAATGCTTTGTAGTCAAGCTTTTCAGAGGATTGCTGTTGTCATCTTTCCTCTCTGTAAAAGCCCCTCTGCTCCCGACACTTTAATTGCACAGTTCCCTAAACGAGGCACTGCAGAGTGTTAATGTGTGAGTCTGAGCGACAACACACTCCTCTTTCACAGAGCTTTTGCCCTTGATCGTGAATGTAACGGAGCACGTACCTTAAAAATAACTGGAGATTCAAGGGGAATCGCTACACTTATCCTCTTGCATAAGGTTTGTTGACACAGGGATCCTTTAACAGTAACTCATATTCTTTCACTGGGAGTAATAAGCATCCCAATTAGTCAACTAGTTAATAACTGCATGGCTGGGGAGGACAGCAGAGGCATTTCTGTGGAAGCGGAGTGTTCAGTGTCCACATGGTCTAAAGCAGACAAAAAAAAAAAAAAAAAAAAAAAAAAAAAAAAAAAAAAAAAAGAAAAAGCTTGAATCCTTCCTGCAGCCTCCCTTCTTGCGAGCTGCCCCTCCGGCTTCTCCAAGACGAGGCGGCAGGATGTTTTTATTCCCTTCGGGGCCATTCTCCGTCGCTTTCTCCCGGGAGCCGGGCACAGGCGGCAGCCCCGGGGGAGCGGAGTTTGGGGGCGAGGGCTGGCGGAGCTGATGTCAGCGCCGGGCGGCGGGAGCGATTGGGCTGCGGGAGACTTTGCAGCAGCAAATCCGCCCCCCTCGCCCCCCCCACCNGCTGCCCGGGCGGAGCGCGGCTCGGAGCCCCCCGGGGCTGTCGCGCCCTCCAAACTACCGCTTCTCTCCTTTTCTAGACGAGGTCCACCAAGTTTTTCTGTTTCGGTGCTGTTCCCCGTCCATAAGCGAGCCCTGCTTAGGAAGGCGCTAATTGCCGTAAGCAGGAAAAGTGAAGCTACAGGATGTCATTGCGAACAGGGAATATGCCCTAGATAACAGCTCTTCGCAAGGCTGTCTTGCTTTCTCCTGTAGAGGGGATGACACACTACTGCCTGATTTTTGATGTTTTGCCTGAAAAAGACGAAGTTAACCGGCTGTGAGCACTTTAAAGTAAAATAAACTGATACGAGGAGCAGAGTGCCAGAGATGCCCAGCTGCAAGGCATTCAACTGCAGAGATGCGAAGTCCGAGTGTTTATCCAAGCAGTAAATATAATCTAACATGTAATTATGATCTCTGTGGTACTCACACAACTTTTAGTCAGCTAGCACTCAAGCTGATGCTCTGGATATGATCTTTCTCTTTCAGATTCTAGAAAACCTAATTTATAGGTGCCATTAGCTAAGTGTCTCTTAATTATTGATTGTGTTCAAGTCCTTAAGTGCAATATTTGATAACTTTTTAGAAAGGTGTCAAAGGAGCTTTTGTATAGTAGGTGGTAAAAGCGGGCCAAATGCAAGCCTGTGTCATTTGATTGTCACTATTTTTACTTTCATCTGTTAACTCTCTATGTTCAAAATCATAGTAACGGATAGTGACCTGCACACAAGTAGAAACAACAGACGTGCAGATATATCAGGACTTTGAGTAGGTGTGCAACCTCAACTTGTTACTCAGGGTTTTTAGCAGGTTATAACACCTGGTGAGAAAGGCTGCCTTTTACTTGGCGTTACAGAATAAATTTTAAAACTCTCAGAAAGGATCGCTTGCATACTCAGTTCCCTTAAAATTTCGCTGTAATCAAGTTGTGCTCTGCAGACTTTTTTTATGCTGATTTATTCTAGAAAAACTACTTTTCTACAGAATTGTAAACTTAGCCTAGCTTTGGCAACCTGTACTTGGCCAGGAGTAAAGCATTAATCTCTGCAATGGAGGAAAGGTACTCGGTTTAATTTTGTTTTTAAGAGCGGACAAAAGTTAGGGTCTTTGACTAAAATTTTTCTGATGCATACTTTTTAGCTTTGTTTTGCCAAAAGAAGGTGAAAGTTGAATGTCTTAAAAAAAAACTAATACAAAAACTTGTTCAACAATAACTTGGTAGCTGACAGCTGTTTGCAGCATGCACACTTGGAGGTGGATGGCATTCTAGAAAGTGCTTAACTGACCAACATCAATAAGAATGTGCACTTGAAGTGTTCGTTTTTTATTCTTTCAAATGTGCTATTTGTAACCACTTTTCAAAAAATGTGTTTGGCTAGTATACTAACTACAGGCTTGTGTTCCTATGATTTTGTTTTTCCTTTCTCTGTAATCACAGTATACATATAAAAATACACATTCCTATAAAATCATGCTGGCCAAAACTGTAACTGAAGGCATGCCCTGTATAAAACCTGTTGGATTTTACTATTATGTTATTTTATTTAGTGACCATCTTTATTTTTTTTTTATTTTTATGATATGTCATAAGGAAGTGTTGCTTAGCAAACAGACTATTGAGGAAACTAGTCAAGAAAATGTTTATTAGGCTATTGAATTACTGTTTTTCAATAAGAATTATTGTGGGTTCCACTATTTTGCAGGTTTGATCTGTTTAATAGATTGTGAGAAAATTTTTGCAGAGGGTTGCACTTGCTTTTAACTATTCTCCAGCACATATCTTGTTGTTTATAACAGGAATACTTTTTAGCTGCTTTAAAGTATGTAACTAAACACATATGTTTACACATCTATACCCAGGGATACCTGTGAACACGAGTGGGCAAAGAAATTCACTATAGTCTTAAATTTAAATTGAGTTTTATACAAAGTAATGAAATTAATTTATCTGTCACACCCCCACTCATTAAGGAAATGGAGTCAAATTTTTTATACAACATACTATATTTTATTACATGTTACATATGAACTGTGCTTAAAACCAGGTTGAGACATTGCCTAATAGAATATCTAAGAATGTACAGCAGTAGAAACAATTATTGCTCTCTATTAGTAGCCTCGCTTATCCCTTCCGTTCTACTTTTCATTCTTTCAGTCATCATTTTGCTCTGGTTAGTGTGAATTATAAATCCTGTGTGTGGTTATAGCACTTCACTCCATTTCTTTTATACCTGGATGCTCTGTTTTAGGAGTTTCCTGGGGGCAGAAGACAAGTTCAAGCAAGGAAAGCAAACAGCATTCTCTGAATAGCTGAATTTCCTTCTGCACTTGGCCTGAAAAAAAACCTACAGACCAAAAACACATGCAGTAAGAGTCAGAGAGAATTTCCACATATACAAATCAAGCACTGAAAAGTGTAGGACACTGAAAATTATTCCAGTGTACAATATCATCGTCCGGTAATTAATTTGCATGCATCTTATTTTCATACTTATGAAATCCAGTTAGTATAGATAGAAATATTTTCATTGCCATTTAGAACAGTATGTTAACTCTCAGTGGGAAGTAAATATCTTAAGTTTTTTAAGATCTAATGAAAATAAATATGGATGCTTGACAGATTATCTGCATACTAATTTCATGTGGCAGCAATAACAGATATTTTATATTTCCCTCTCTGTTTGCTCAGTTTTGAGTTGCTGGGTTTTTTTAAATTGGTGTGTATAAAATGACCAGAGGAGAGGAAACTATGCCTATTGATTTAGAGAAATCCATTTTAGGGGTTTATGGGTAGTTACTGTGTTTGTGGGTTCTTGTGTTTTCTCAGGGCTCTGGAATATGGCAGAGTACTGGTAGAACTCAGCACAGCGGCCTCAGCACAGCTTGTGCCCATTTCATAGCCTGTGGTATAGATGTTGAAAAGAAGGCTTGTTTTCCCAGATAAGTCATTACAAGTAGACCAAACAAAAGCAGAGTTGCCATTTACTGATAATACTAAAAGGGCCACACTTCAGCAGCCTCCAGCAACTTGTTAGGCATCAACACACAGAAGGTAAGTATAAAATAGGAGACTGGATAGATAACCCTTCCAGGTTATTTTGCAGTGTAAGACGACAAATAAGCCACCTTAATTGCAACATGGTTTATAGGGCTGCAGAGTGAAGCTCATTACTTAAAAGCAGGAGGGCATCAGGTATCCCTGGTGTGGTAGAAAGCCATGGCCAAGAGTCACCGCTGCTACAATAGGACATGAAATAATTGTTGACAGAATAAACTAAATAAGGGCAGCAAGTGGCAGAGAGGCAAAATGATTGGGAAATGAAATTCCATGAAAAATTAATGAAATAGAAAGATTGTGCTGAAGATGAAGGGAGGAAACCGGCTTGGTGGTTCATCATCCTGCAATGCCAAAGTAATAAATGAGCATGTTTCATCTCGGCAAGGTTCAGGGACACAACTCCTTCCCCACAAAGGACTGTGTTGTGCTTTTCGATGTGTTCCGCTTATCTCGTGCCCTGACAGCTTGAGAGGAAAGGAATGGATTTGGTGGTAAAATTAAATTGATTAAACCTTTATCCATCATCTAATTTGGTAGCTTTCTTTTTTCTTTTCTTTTTTACTCTTACCTCCAATTTCTAGTGATCCGTGTAATGACAGCAATTTGAGATAGCATCAAGGACATTAGCTACGATGACTGAACTTAAATTTAGAATAAAAATATGGGATTCATGAGTCCATATCTAAATAGCAGATGATTAGGTTATAGCAGAGTTGTAACTTCCTAGCAACAGCATGTAATTGTGAGGACAATAGAATGGTGTATTTTACTTTCAAAGAGAACAGCATGTAATTGTGAGGACAACAGAATGGTGTATTTTACTTTCAAAGAGAACAAAATACTTCAACTTTATCTCAAAGTATTAATTATGTAAGTAGAAAAAGCACTGGCATGAATATTGACCACGTCTTACATGAGCAATAACATATATTGTAATTTTTACGTTTCTGAACACATATATTGTCAGATGTTTTGCTTTCTTCAGTGGCAGTACACAGACATATAAAGCTAGTGGCAAAGAATCCAATTGCTTAAAATTTTGTAGTTTCTCCTTGGTGACTTGTGTAGGAAAATTCTCCCCTAGGATGAGAGCTGTGCTTACAAGTTCCAGTTTAAGTGGTATTAATGGAGTTTTTAAAAATACGTAAAGGCAGCCCTTTCTGAAGTGATACCCTACAAATGGAAAACGCTGCACTAAAAAATTAAAGGTCAGAAGAAATTACCTTGTGAAATACCAAAGTTACTGAAGGTCTGTGCAAACTGTATTCTTAGGTTCCTTTAATGCCTTATAGGTTAGCAAGTCTCAAAAAGCAAACATGAGGATATCTGTCTGATCTCTGTTAATTGTACTACTTTTGAATTACTGCTAGCCAATATTGTGTAGGTTTTGCGAGTAGTAATGAACCTGAATTGATCCCTGTGTTTACAGCTAACTATCTCTACAACCTTTCAGGCAGTTTACCGTTTTTTCCGTGTAAGTGATTAGTTATCCAGACAAAAAAGGTTGATATGCATCAGTAGATAGATCATTCTCAAGGCATCTGTGATGAACTTGACATCTGCTGTGTAAAACAGCTTGTTTTGCCTGCAAATTATGTAAGTTCCAATAGTAAAATGAAGCGCTTACCTTTCTGCTGTGGCTGACCTTTGTTCCCCGATGTATGAATTTGAAACGAAGCAGCCAACCCGGAGGAGTTTTAACAGCATATTGTGATATATAACGTATTAAAAAGACTGCTTTGTTAACTGGTGGAAGCAGCTTGTCAACCCATACTAATAGGCAACCCTCCCTGAGTCATAAAATAGCCAAATTTAATGCTTTAACAGAAAGCATTAACTGGATGGAGTTACTGTCGTTCAATCAGTTTCGAATTTCTTGCTTCTTGCAGCAGATTTGAAATATGAGGATGTATTTTTGGACCCCGAATTAAAAATACACACTCTGGACTAAGGACTGGACATTGCCATGGCTGGTTTAATGAAAATCTCTGCTAAGCAAAGCGTGATAACAAGGGAAGCACGGCAGGGCAGAGTGCATGAAGAGCAGGACAGCTAATATTGAAGATATTACCGTGACATTAATGAATGAAGGGTGTATTTTCACTGAGTATATTCTGTTTTGTTCTGGCTGTTCTAGCTCCCAGATGCGTACTAGAAACGGTGAGGATTCAGAGACATATGGCAAAAGGGATTAGAGATGTGTAAAATTTCAGTGGAAGAAAATTGATAAGATTTATATTGTTTACTTTGGAGATAAACATAAGAAAAGATGCAGTAAAATCATATTGAAGAAGAAAGATTATAAAGAAGGTAAACAGGCTACTCGAATTTATTCCTAATTTTTTTATTTACTGAGACAGAGGCCTTTAAGGAAGGAAAATTCAGCATGTTTAATAGGAGTGGAAGGACATTTTCTGTTGGGACTGTATGTAGCTGACCTGGGGAATTTTTTCACTTAAGGTACAGAAAAACAAATTTGTTGGGAGTTTGAGGTATTTGATTAGCTCAGCTGAGACTTGTGCTGCTAAGTTTGATGCTCAATTCAGTGACTGTAGGCTTTGGCTTTGGGTAGGATGCATTAAGAAGGATTTCATTTTTTTAATATGAGATATGAATCCCCTTTTTCAGGAAATTATCTGACTCCTGACTTGCTTGGATTAGGTGGAAAGGTGATTTGTAGGCAGTTTAATCGCTCCTGCTCCCTGTGAGGCTTTTTGCACTCTCCTGTTTCCCCAGCTGAGGCCGTGGCGTGGCAGCGGTTCAGGAGGTGACTTTCTGCTCGGCTTCGCGGCAGTGGCGATGCGCGTCCCTCTGCTGTGTGCCTCCCAAAACCAGCAACACAGCTGGCAGGGAGGCAAGCACATTTCACTGGAATATTCCTGACAGCTTTTTTAAGTAGCCTTCCTCTCTGTTGCCACTCAGTGCCCTTCATGGTATATGTAAAAATAGACCAAAATAGAGACTAATTCCTAGTCTCTTACATTGATTCTGAGTGAGGTTAGGATGATTACAATAAAAATTAATTAACTCATTTCTTATTCTCTTGAAAAAAATAAAAGGGTCAAATAGAAGGATGTGAAAACAAATTTTACAAACACAGGATGATTTGTTAAACAGAAACCTCGCAGGTACTGGCATGACTGCCAGTGCATCGTCATCAAGTGAATATTGTGTCGTAGGGGACTACCCGTGCAAGCTAATCTGTGTTTTTGAAAGTGTTTCTGTAGGGTTTGGGTTTGGTCTCAATGCTAAACCAACCACTGTGTTTGATTCTGGAGCTGCGCCACTTGTGAGTGCTGTTTCTGCACTACGTGTTGGTGGCATTTCTTGTTCGAGTCTGGAATGAGGAACAAGCAATAAGTAGATCTCAGCAAAATACTTCGTGCTAAAGTGTGACTTTTTTTTCCCCCATTTTTTGTTCCTTGCAAGAGAAATGGTGCTCAGAATTATTAACAGAATCACCTTTCCCTAAATGCTAATGAAACATCAGCGTGAAGACTCAAAGCTGCTGGGAAGTGTGGGAAGAAATAAGTAGAATTTGACAGATATTTTATCTCCATCTTCCTAGGAATTTACACACAACCGATTTTATGCAATTGCTTGCTTCTTGCCACTTCTCTGAGACTCTGAAATGGCTATTTATTCTTTAAATAGCAGGATTTAACAAATGTAAAATGATGGCTTTCAAGCCAACTGTAATGTGTTACCTTTGTACGAGGCCTAATTCTGCTGCCCTTACTCAGAATAAAATTGAAATTGAAACTTCTAAGTATCAGTCAGGGTGGCAGAACCGTGTTTCTATGTACATTTATGTCTGTGCCTTAATATATAGGTACATATATACATGTTTGTGTGAAATACAGTTGTCTAGCTCTGTGAAGGGAATGACTGTAATAAACCCCAAGTTATATTAGCCAAAGGGTCTTAAAGCCTGTAGACTTCAAATTATATGAAGAATTTTTATATTCCATTGAAGTATTTTGTTTGGTGATGTAAAAATAAAATACTCTTACATCATTTGTGTTTACTCATATTCATAAAAATAAAATACTCTTACATCATTTGTGTTTACTCATATTCACGTATGAGCTTGTAATTTTAAAAATACATATGTAAAAATTCTCATAGTGTGTGTGTGATCTTTCTCTATGCAATCAGTCATCTTACAGACAACTCACAAAAGCACAACTGCACGAGGATTTTTTTTTTGTTTTTTTTCAGAGCGAGAAATAAAGGAACTAAAACCACTCCTTATAAGCCAGACTTTTTAGTATATTTCTACGTTCCATTTGTGTAGGTATGTTTTTTGAATAGCTAAGTAATTCAGCATGGTTAAGATAAATTTGTATGCAGGAGCCTGTAATACTCATGTCAGAAAACCCCAAATGTTTACCAAAAAGGTGAATTTGTTCTTAAGTTTACGTGCTGATCTTTCTCCAGCTGAATCCTACAGAAGGAATAACAGAGCAGAACTCAACTTTGAGCTCATGCTCTATATTGCATCCATGCCAGCAACCCTGCCACAAGCCACCAGACAAAATGCCTGGGGTTTCTTGAACAAAAGTTACCCAAAATTAACTTTCATTAGCTGATTTACAGGTTGTAGTTGCCCTTCCTCCTGTTAATCATGAATTGCTATTTACATGTCCATGTAAATGCTGATTTTGGGAAGCAGTCTGCAGTGGTCGGCAGTGCCTCATTGTTGAGCAGCACAGACAGTAATTAAATTGGAGCTCAGCTCTTGCTGCTTGTGGATTTAGGAGTTTAAAAGAAACAGTACAAAAAGAGAGTGTTCTTTAATACCACTGACAGCAGGTTTCTTCCACTTGCAACTGCTTCAAAGATTATTGATTGACCTGTGTTTATCATTTATTTATGCTAAAGCATCTGATGCGTGTCTCTTGTAAAATCTGTTGTTTCTAAAATCAACGTACTTGACTTGTTTGCAATTCATGTTTATAATGATCAGTTTTTACAGTTATGTAATAGAGAATTGCTTTAACTGGTACTATGCCCACAAAGAGGACTTTTTGTGCCTTCAAATGGAATCCATAAGCACAAGACATTTGATTTTTTTTGGTGGGTTTTTCTTTTTTTTTTTTAAATGAAACTGTTTCACTGTGCAAATCCTTTAAATTTTCTGCACAAGAAGAAGGAATGTACAAGAGTGTTCAAGGATAAATGTGAAGCATTTCAGTTCTACCAGAACAAGTCAAAAGCTTGTCTTTCTAGGTTAACTTGTACCCTCTTATATTCTTTTAAAAGGAGACTTTATCTCTGCGTTCTTTTTGCTTAAGGAAAACAAAATAATTTCGAAATCTTTTCACGTTACAGCACAAGGTGTAAATGCAAGGTGAAAATGGGCAGTAGGTTATTAGCAGGACCAGTTAACTGAAGATGATTATTAGATGTCAGAAAAACCTGGGGATTTAAAAATATATACAGTTTTTGAGCAGTCAGAATTGAAATAATCTCTTGCAGTTAGAAGTCTGGTTTGTAACAGAAGTAGTTTAACAGAACACTGCTTTAGATAGATTGGTTAACCCAGGCACATTTTTAAGCAAATGACACATTCTGCTTACATGTGGTAAGAAGCCATAGAGAAAGGCGTTTTGTCAGGTTTTCCTAAAGGCTAACACCGAATTCCTTACTAAATTTGTGCTTTTATGATGTAAGGCACATTGGACTATTTTTCCTTGTCTATGGTAAGATCATCCTTCTCTTCAGATGGGTCCAACTCATCCCAGACACCAAGGATTCTTACTGCCCAGAGTTAATAAAAATGCATCTGCATAATCACACTAGGTACATGCTAAAACTACTTATGGAAAGTTATTACCTCTCAGAGGCAGACGGCTGATCGGGGGGAAGTTGAGTCAGACCAGTTACTCTGTTGCAGAATTAATGAGCAGTAGGTAGCAATGCAGGAGTCTGTCACTCCGCTTTGGAGTGTCCAGCAGCTCTGGCGTGTGGCGGTCCTTCCACAGCTGTAGCTGGATCTCACCATTGCCTGTGGCCCTGGGAGCTGCTGGTTCCCAGGTGAGCCGTGTGCCAACACCGCTGCTGGCAGCAGGAGTAGGGCATGGCAAAGCGGGCCCGCCTGCTGCTGCTGGAATGAAAAGGGCTTTGTGTTTACTTACCTGTTTTCTATGTATACAAAGGCCTGGGATCTGGTTCTTCTGTGGTGTTAAATCACATGTGCTCTTCGGCTTCTGGAGGGCTTTCAATTTCTCCCACAATGGCTTGTTACAGGTACTGAGGGTGAGCTTTCTATGTAGCAAAGTTTATATTTAAAAGGTGACTCTTTCTTCAGTATTAACCAGTACATTGTGGACAAGTCTGCAGAATAACCACAAAAACTCTGGTTTTGTAATATACGTTACGTCCTTCAGATGCTGCAAGAGTTTGCTTATGGAATTCATTGAAACTGTTACAGATTCCTTGATTCCTTTTTTTTTTAAAATGAGATTTGTCCTTTTAGATGACTCAATTTCACAAGGATTAAATACAAATTTCTACATTTCATTACTTTCATTTCCATTAAAAATCATAGCAACAGTCCCTACATTTGTACCTTGCCTGTAGTTCAATTGAAATTCATCAATTTTGTTTATGCACAAACTCTTCAGAAGACCAAAATATTATTCCGCTTCAACTAAAACCACTCTAAATTCACTCTAGTCTTTAACAATAATTCTTTGACTAAAGTGTAGCAGATACATCTTAAGATGAAAAAGGAATCAAGCACTCATTTCTGAGTCCAGGAAAGTAATTTATAAAGTTTAAAGAAAAATTTAAAAATCTATTCCTCATGCATTATTATCTTAATTTTGCCTCAAAATAATTGTCTCTGAAATTAACTGAAACCAAGCAGCAACAAATTAAACTGGTTTGGATCTTGCAGAGTGCTGTTTGAACAGGAGAATGAGTTAAACACTACAGAAGCCATTTCAATAAAGATAAACACAAATGTTCCCAAAAATCACTCCTAAAACCTTGAAAATCCACATATTTGCACTTCTTCAATTTGTTTTTTATTTACAAAAACACCCATCTCTTTCCTCCCTTTCTTTTTACTATCTTACTTCCCTTGTTTGTATTCTCACCTATTGAAGCAGCTGCTATTCATACAAATTATGAAAAGGAAAGTATGTATGAGATTGGTGCCTGGAGAGGACCAATATATCATCAAAGGTCTTTGGGGTAACATATGGCCTTGGTGCACCAAAATCACTTCCTCAGTCATTCCATTGCTGCTCAGAAAAGCAGTAAATAATAAGTAACAAGTTCTGCGTACAAATGTGCTGGAGCTTAGATATTTTCATGGAATCAGAAACTGGATAAGAAGTTACTGTTATTTTCCTGAAGATCTTTTACGTACAAAAAAAATTTCATAATGCACTTTCTTAACAGCATACATTTCTTAGGGATTGTTCTGTTTTAGCATATCTAAAGTGATCACTTGCTACCAGTTCCTGAGCTGAGTAGATGTTTCTCTGGTGCTGACATGTGAAGTTGGTTCCTGTGCTCTTTAGGCAGAAAAGGGAGACAGCAAAAAGTCAAGATAAGAGGCTGAGACTATTCTTTTAATGGCCATTATGGCAAAAGCAATGTGTGCATCATAGGCAGGCAGTTGATTGGGAAGAGTGGCTTGTTAATCTTGCTTAATTTTACACATCTTGTTAATCTTGTTTTCCAGTACCTTTCCCTTTCTGTTGCGACTGCTGGTGCCAGGCACGCACCTGCCTGCAGGTGCAGTCACACACAGCCCTTGTGCAGGCTGTCAGCTGAATTTCCATCAGTCATTTCCCCGTGCCCCAACAGGTGTCAGTGAGCTGCAAGTTGTGGAAGAGATGACGACTCACAGAAACCCACATGGCGAAAAGAGACTTCATTCGTGGTCAGCTCAGGCTTTGCGGGGAGGTGCAGTGCAGGTGGGCAGGCACACACCAGAGGATGTGATGCTCTCAGCACACCTCGGGTCAAAAGCATGGCTTAAGGGTAGCACAAAAAACATCTCCCTGACCAAGTGTAGGAAACTGCTTCCATCAGCCCTTTCTAGCAGACAGCTTGTCTTTGCTGAATGTTGACAACATATTATATAAATTTCTCTGCAACAGCTTGTTTCAGAAACTTTCCCCAGTAATATAGATTAAGATAGAATTTGTTTTGACTGCTGTAATGCATATTCATTAGATAAAAGCCCAGACAATTACTATGATAGTTTCACTAACAGGTGGAGCATGTTTTAGGATTTGTTGGGCATGGGATTTGCTGGCATAATCTCAGACAAATTTGGGGGATTATTTTTGTGATGAAAATAATTTAGTATGGGAAGTGAGAACGTAAGCAGATTTGAAAGTGATTTCATTATGTTTTTACATTAGTTTGCTCTTAAAATTTTAAGTCTAGAATATGTTCATGCTTTGAACAAATGAAGGTCTCTCAGGACAAGCAAGAAACCACACAAATAAGTGCTACCTTCATAACAGAGCTAACAGTTGAGTAAATGGTAAGCAAATGTATTTATAACAGGATATCACGTTATTGCGTTCATTTTCCAAAACTAGAATTTATACTTTCTCCATCTTCACTTGTATCATATCTACTTTCATCCATTAAAGTTACAGATTCATTTCAGTTGAGTAGGTAATATTACAGTAAATATGCATGCATCGACATTATCGAGAAGTTGCAAATGAAAGCACAATTCCCGTTTTGTTTCCACTCGCAAAAAGAGAGAAAGCTTGAGAGCAGAATCTAGATGAAGAGTATAGGAGCCTAATCTTACCCTATTTACGTGGCAATCTGTTTTTTTTGAGGAGTACCAGGCCCTACAGCTTACAGGACCTACATTCCATAGGACATTCTCATATGGGCAGTCACTCTGTCTTCAGCACAAATTGATCTTGGTGATCATTTTTATAGGGATTGGGGTAGTGCTGTCTGGC